CTAATCATCTTATGGTCCTTTAATATTAACAATCATAAACCACTACTTGTGAGATTATTCACCATTCAAAATATTTTTCCTCAGGACAGCACAGGCCTTAATGGTGTACCGGGAAATACTTGAAGCCGGAATTGTTCCTAGCATTGAAGTTTTATCTCAAGTTTTGGGGTGCTTGCAGATTCCTCATGATCCCGACTTAAAAAGAAGACTCATAAAAAACATAGGAGTATGTGCTGACTCATCAAGATATTCAAATCTCTGCTCCTTGATAGATGGCTTTGGTGAATATGACCCTCGAGCATTTTCACTGTTGGAGGTCTGTCCAAATATGAAGCTGGTTCCATAATCTTGCTGAAAATTTTCAAATTCTTAAATCTTTGGAGAGATCTGATTTTCCTTTTATATGTACCCCAACAAAATATAGGAAGCTGCTTCACTTGGAGTTGCTCCTTTTGTATCCCTCAAAGGAAGTCCTATTATTGTAGATGTCAAGGAGTTGCACATTCATACAGCTGAGGTAAGATTGTTTCTTCACCTAGCAAATTGAAGTTACCAGTTATTATTTAATTGGGAAATTATGTAGCCCTTTGGAATTATTAAGCACTAGAAAAAAACTATACTTACCTGTATTGAACTTTGTATTAGGAATCCACTGATTCTCGAGTTGTAAAAAGTAAACATTTTACTTATGAAATTTAAAAATAGTTTTAGATGACCCTTAAAATTCAGTAGAGACCAGGCAGTTGACTGTACATAAATGAGATATCCTTTTAACTGGGTGGTAGTGGGGCGTCTGCCAAAGAAATGTAGACACCTCAAAAATCTTCGCACAGCCACTGATTAGAAAATGGCTAGTTGCATAGGGACCTATTAAATCGTTACTTACCGGACTGGTTATTAGCCATTTGTGAGCAAGCCAGTACAATTTTCAAGGCAGTAACCCTTGATTCTCATCATGCTCGCTCAATCAACAATTCCATCCCCATGTCCCGACTTCTTGTGTTCTTGTACATCCTTCAGGGAGGGGTTCTTTTTTGTTCATCCGGGTGAAGGTGTCCCTTTGTCTTTGGTGGCAGCTACACACTTAACATAAATTCATATTTGGTCAAGAGGGTGCGAGAGAGGAAAAGAGTATGGGTTTAGGAAGAAGAGGGCGTAGCTGGCAAGTCTTGGTTTTGACAGATTCTCTCTTTCAGCTGTCTTAAGTTTTCTGCCCAAGAGAAGAGGTGACTGATGAATCCCATAAAGTGCGAAAAAGATTAAAAAGAAAAATGGCACCTGCATTGAAATAACATCACAAGATTTTTCAGTTTTCGTTGATTTTGCAATTTTAGTTGGTTTTTTGTTTCTGAATGTTATGGAGGTGAAAAATGGCAGCAGTCAATTTTCTATTTTATTGCTTGTTTTTCTTTGTGCGGATTCAAGTGGTCCTTTTCTGCTTGTAAAAATACATATTAGTCTTGGTTAAATCAGTATTGATGATCCTATGAGTTTTGCCTTTCCGTTTACTTCCAACAGTTTTAACTAACACAATCTTTTGAGTAGAATATGTTCAACATGAGTGAAAAGCAATTCACAAATAGTATCATACATGACTGAAAGTGTTATTAAAATCCTGCCAGGTTTACCTCTTGACAGTTTTGAAAGGTCTCAAACATCGGCTTGCCGCTGGTAAATGTCATACGCATTTTTAGTCTTTCATCTTCTAGTTACTAATGCACACGGTTATTATTTGTTGTTTACAATAGCACAAACCCATTCATATTGTTTTTAACTTCTTGATAAGATTGTTGCAAAATTAAATGGATTTTAACCACTTTGCTTCTTCCTAGTATTACTGGCCATCAAATTAGAAAACTTTCATGACGTTGATGCTAGATTTTAAGATATTTTTCAAGGGTTCATATAAATATATATATATATATATATATATATATATATATATATATATATATATTATTATTATTTTTTTTTCTCTTTTTTGAGTCGTGCATCTTCTCATGTATAACTATTTTAATTTTCTGCTTTAAATATTGAAGTAAAAGATCTCTACAACTTCACTTTTTTGGGACCATAATAATTTGTCGTGTTGAAATTACTATATGAGATCTTTTTTACTCAAAAGGATAAAGTTATTGTTATTATTCTGAAAAAGGAGATACTTAACACTAGTCGAGGGTAGGGAGGTCTAGTAATTGTTGTATTCTGATTAAATTTCTTTTGTTCAGGTTCAAGGTTACCGAACATAATGATCTTAATGCCAAATGAGACGACGCAAGTTCTCTCTTCCAATGGGGAGAGAACCATTAACCTTGCGGGAAGGTGAAAAGATCGAAACTTATGAAATCAAACTAGGTTTCTTTTGCCTGCTTATTTTGCTTTCTGAGCCAAGAGTTCTAAAATAGAATGCAACTTGACAGTCTTCCCACCTAATCGGAAGTTTCAGCTTGTAAAGATGCTCCTGGTTGACCTTTTTCCCCCTCACGGATGAAATCACGGATGAAATGATCTGTGAGATCCCACATGGGTTGGAGAGGAGAACGAAGCATTACTTGTAAGGGTGTGGAAACCTCTCCCTAACAGACGCGTTTTAAAACCGTGAGGCTGACGGAAATATGTAACGGGCTAAAGTAGACAATATCTGTTAGCAGTAGGCTTGGGCTGTTACAAATGGTATCAGAGCCAGACACCGAGCGGTGTGTCAACGAGGATGTTAGACCCCCAAGGGGGTGGATTGTGAGATCCCCACATCGGTTGGAAAGGAGAACGAAGCATTCCTTATAAGGGTGTTGAAACCTCTTCCCAGCAGACGCGTTTTAAAATCGTGAAGCTGACGGCGATATGTAACGGGCTAAAACAGATAATATCTGCTAGCGGTGGGCTTGGGTTGTTACATGATCGTATTATTAACCCAAATATAATGGTCTTACAGGGTCGGACAAGTAGTGGCGGCATTGTTGAGAAGACTTGGACTACCCTACCAGGGAAATGAATCCAGTGGAAAAATCAGAATCAATGGTTTAGCCTTGAGAAGATGGTTACAGCCAAAACTCTCCAATTCTCTAAGTGGAAAACCAGGAGAGTTCAGCTCATTTCAGTCACGTCTAAGAGAAGGAATAAGCCATCAGCAGCGTAATATTCGCACTGGGAATCTATCATTGGATTAAAGAGGTATGCAAAAACATTAACACAGTTTAGGATATTAAGCAGATGATCTAAGCTATTGAAACCACTTATCCACACCTCGTTAGTTCAACCACGCCACACTTTTAGAACTTCCTCATAAATGTTAGAATAAGTAGGCTATTTGGTTCTCTTAATGGCAATGCTAATTGGGGGGGGGGGATGTATGATGCGGTATAGAGCTTTTGGTTTCGTGGCTTTTCATGGGAAGAGAGGAGCAATTTGCAGAGCTGTGGTGAATTGTTCTTACTATAAACTATTTCCGGTCAAGAAGCTCATCACCAAAGTTGGTAGTCCAATTATGTGAATCGATCCTCCCAAACTGCCCTTTACTGAGGTAATTTTACATTATATAGAAATGGTTGTCAAATTTTGTAATGCAAAAATATATGACGACTTTATAAATTCATCTTTTTTTCCTTCCATTTTTGGAATAAGATGTCAAAACGTAAGCTATTACAAAAATAGAAGAAATTTGGGTATGTTTCTCCTTAGGACTCCCTTCCTAGCTTATTCTTCTCTTTCTTTGGAGACAAGATCGAATGAGAATGATGGGAAGATGCTTTTTAAACTAAACTATGTTTGGTTCGTTTATCTGCTTTCCTTTCATTCGAAGCTAAGTAATGAAATGTTTTTTCTTAGCATGCGGATTAGTGAGGAATTGGAGTTACGATTCATGTTTCTTGCATCCTCCATATAATTTTAGTTCAATGAAAGTTAATACCTATTTTCGATTCATCCGGTCAAAGTGGAGAAAAATTATTGCTATCAAATTATTCTCTTAGGATTAAATTTAGATTTTTTACAATGTCTAGTTCCTTCTTTTCATAGATTCATACCATTGGAAATTTGAATCGGGCTAGGGTTGGTATAGAGTGATGAAAAACCTAGATTTATGTAGTTTGTGTTTGGTCTATGAATATGCATTTTATAAAAGAATCATAGTTTTGGATGAACAAGTCCATCCATACTAAAGCAGGCTCAGTTTCACAGTTCCATTTTAAACTTTAAAAAATATATATGTGATCTTTTTTTCTTTATTCAAATAAGTTTCTATTCTTCCTTTTAAATAATGTTACAAATGTTAAATTTTAACATATTTACCAATTGCCCTGAATTTTTTTTTTTTTTTTTTTTTAGAATTTAAAGGTTACTTTATTTTTAAAAAAAAATCATGTTTTTTTCTCGAAACTAATTAAAAATAGAGCTTTCAAGAAAAATATATACTATTATTATAGTTTTTTTAAAACATAAATAATTTGTTAACTTTCAACTGAGGGTAAGAATCCAACAATCAAGTAATTGGTGTTTTACAAAACTATATTTGAATTAATAATAATTTATTCCCATATTAATCATTTTCTTTACCTTACTCAAAATGTATCTTTGCAGGGGTTAAGCGGTTTAAAATAGATCATATCAAATAAATATTATCATCAAATGTCTCAAATGACATATAATAGTTTGATACATTTAACATCGTTTGAACAAGTAGGGTTAAAAAATATCTTGTTAACATTTTTTAAGAAAGAAGTGAAACGAAGAGTTCATGGACATTCTTCAATGATCATTTTAGTTATTTCATTCTCGGGCTAATGGGAAAAATGGTGAGCTTGAGAGAAAAATAAAAGAGAAAAAAAATAGAAAAAGGTTAGATGAGGTGAACAAATGGCTAGAAAAACTTATTTCAAAAAACCCGAGAAAATCTCATTAAAAAAACAACTATCCATAAAAGATTTCGACAATTTTGAGAATAAATTTTAAAGAGAAACAAAATATTTCATCAAAATTGGCCATCACACATTTATATGGAGATCCTCTAAATATCTTACTAGGATTCCTTGTGTTTTTGTATTGAAACAGAGTTCTACACAAAGCCTCATCTATATAGAATTAATACATCCCAGCAACATGGACAAAAATATTAGCCCTCAGTTGTCAAGATTAAAAAAAAAAAATGATATCTACTTAATTTCATCATGGAAAGTTATGAAGTTATAAACTCAGCTCCTTTTTTGCCCAAAATTTTCAAATTTTCAAATTTTCAACTTTCTTGATGCAATATCTCAGTTCTTGTTGGATTGCTACCCTTGAAGGTGACAATACAATGTCTTTCCAAACTGATCCAGCTTCACAAGCAGGACTTGGTTTCTTATAAAGTTTATAAATGGAGTTTGCTTCCTCATTTAAGCTCCCAACTGTTTTTAGACACTTTATTTCTTCAGGATCAACCAACAATGTCTTGTCTTTGTCTTTCCATCCAATGAACTTCACATAGAAACGGGTTTTAAGTCAAGAAAGGATCACTAACATTTGTAACAGCCCAAGCCCACTGCTAGCAGATGAGGTTTCTCTCAAGGTTTTTAAAACACAAATACGTATGCTAGGGAGAAATTTCAACACCCTTGTAAATAATGCCTAGTTCCCCTCTCCAACCAATGTGGGATCTCACAATCCACCTCCTTCGGAGCCCAGCGTCCTCGCTAGCACTCGTTCCCTTCTCCCATCGATGTGGGATCTCACATTCTTTATAAGAGTGTGAAAATCTCTCCCTAACAGACACGTTTTAAAAACCTTGAGGGAAAACTCGAAAGGAAAAGCCCAAAGAAGACAATATCTACTAGCGGTAGGTTTAGGCTCTTACAACGAACAGAAGAGAAAAAAAGAGCCAAACTTTTAACTTAAGAGAACCTCCAAGAGTTACCTTCGGTGGGCCTTCCAAAGCATTGGTGCAATATAGCCTTGCATTATCAACATATTGGCAATATGTTAAGAAAGCATTTGCAAATCTCTTGTGGGATTTCAGTTGAGATTTTACTCTTACAGCTCTTCTGCAAATGAGAGCTCTCCTGTGTTTACAGTCAGAAAATGCAACTTTTTAGATGATAATATAATTATTATCCCAGGAAGAGGACAGAAGGCTGGTTTTATGTGTACCTTATGCCTCTTATGACAGCTAAATAAGCATCACAAACAACTCCAACAAGTTCAATCCTGTATGGTCTTCTTTTCTTGCCCACAACTTTTTCTGGTTCTTGATCTTCTATTCGTTCCCAATAATTTTCAGTTACAGTGCCATCATCACCAACCTTATAGCCAGCTCCCATTCGATAACGTCGACGGTGGACATTCCTCGCCATCGTAATTGTCTGTACTACAAATGGTACCCATGACAACGTTCCATCCATGATTACGTCTCGTCCTTCGTTCAGTGCAGTCACCAGAAGTGAGGAAGCTGCATCTGTGGATGATTGGTGCACCTGTTCCAAACATTGAAAAATTACAGGGCGTAGAGAAGTGCAGCAGAAAAGATCCCAAGTGTAAGAATATCTAAGTAACGACCCAAAATAGGTCGCCACTGTACACTGTATACATGTTCATGATATGTATATAGTGGCAACCTTAAATTAAGTAGAAAATTTCGAGTCGTTATAGTCCGGCTCCTAATAGATTTAAAGATCTAAGGCTTCATTAGGAAAATAATGAAAAGGGAGTATCAGCAGGTTCATAAGAATGCATTTTGGATGAGATTTTAGAGGTGAAATGATACCAGTTCAGCAGTTTGGAGCATGTCATTATGGTGACCAGTGGAGTTAAGAGCTCTATAAATGACATCTGATTCTTTGAAAGCATCTGCCTCAATTATAACTGCATTAGGGGATGCTCCTATCCAGAATGGCCTATTGAATATTTCATCCAAAACAATGAATCAGTTCATTTCTTCATCCAGAATGGCCTATGTGCCATTATATATGCTTAAATGTTTGATATTGTACAAATTTACTTATTAGCCATAGCTGATGAAACTGATGAATGTTCTTACTCTTTGAGAATGTCCTTAAGCACAGTACTCTTCCCCGCCCCCATACCGCCACCCATGAACAGGAGCATCGGACTTCGATCGGCAAGAGCCATTGGAGCCATCACTTCCGTGCATTGCGAGTCGTCAGTGGATGTGAGTCCCATTGCTTTCATCTCCTCAACTAAAGTTGTAAATACTCTAGCAACTTTCAGGTTCTTTGTTACCCTCTCAAACCTCTGTTCCCTAACAATTTCACAAAAATGGTATGGCTTGATTGTTTTCTTAATCGTGTCTAAGTAAACATTTGAATTCAGCGAGTTTTTATTACAAAACAAAGAAATTAATGCTTAATTTTCAAAGACTAAATGGTCGATCTAAACTCATTAGAGCCGTACAACTAGCGATTTTAGGCATAATAGTCATACAATCTCGGGAGTAAAAAGTGTACCTTATTTTAAACTACTAAGAAAAGGTTTTCACACCCTTATACATGGTGCTTTGTTCTCCTCCCCAACTGACGTGGGATCTCACACTCCACCCCCTTCAGGGTCCAGCATTCTCGGTGGCACTCATTTCTTTCTCCAATCGATGTGGGATCCCATCATATCCACCTCCTTTGGGGCCAGCATTTTTACTGGCACACCGCACGGTGTCTGGTTCTGAAACTATTTGTAATAGCCCAAGTCCACCGCTAGCAAATATTTTCCTCTTTGAGCTTTCCCTCAAGGTTTTTAAAACACTGTCTACTAAGAAGAGATTTCCACACCCTTATAAAGGACGTTTCATTCTCTTCTCTAACCGATATGGGATCTCACAAGAATTTTGATGAGTATCAATCCTAACATTTAGGTATCTAAATGGTTAAATCATCTTCATATTTTTTTTAGAGGTAGTAAATTCAAATCCATATCCCAACACGTTAATATTTGATATTCTCATTCATCCATAAAGACACTCAAGGCTGAAGAGATGCCCACCTGGTTGCAGCCATTACAATGTTTCTGAGCTTCTTCTTCGGCTCCTGGTGGTCAGAACTCAAGATCTGAACAAACAAACAAGAAAGAGATAGAATAGAATCAAGAAACTCCATTGATAAAGTTGAAGACATTTTATCAAACACCTTGTGCAGTCTCTACAGTTTACCTGACTAATCATAATATCTGTTTGGTTCCAATGGAATGCAAAGTAACTGAGAATGCATCGCTCGAACTCTTCGACGAGTTTGACGAAGAGCGAATCTGCATGAAGCTCGCTTGAGAAAAAGGAATAGATATCATCTTCACATTCGTCTGATTTGGCTATGTACTCAGCAGCCAACTTGCAGAGATGCGGGCACTCATTTATGTCTTTAAACCCCATTTGCCTTGCTGATCAATCCCAACAAATGAACACAAAATTCATCAACTCAAACAACCAAACACTTTTTTAAATTAAATTATATGATTAACACATTAAATTTATAAATTAATTAACACTCTTTAGATTTTGGTTTACAAACTAATTAAACATTCATATATACATGTATACATATATACATGTATATATATGCGTTTATAGGCATATATATATATATATATATATATATATATATATATGTATGTGTAAAATCACAATTTTATTTTAATTTTTCATATTTAAAATTTTTGTTTGATTTACATCTATTTTTTTTTTAATTTTTAAAAATATTTATGGATAGAATATATTTCTTTGACTAAAATAAGCAGTGTTTGGTTATAATTTTAAAATAGTGTTTTTAAATAATCAAAAGGTACTTTTCTTTTTTAATTTTTATTATCAACAAAATATATATATATATATATATATATATATATATATATATATATATATTTTGTGAATATATATATATGTTTTTTATGAATTGCTTTATAATATATATATATATATATATATATATATATATATATATATATATATATATATATATATATATATATATATATATATATATATATATATATATATATATATATATATATATATATATATATATATATATATATATATATATATATATATATATATATATATATATATATATATATATATATATATATATATATATATATATATATATATATATATATATATATATATATATATATATATATATATATATATATATATATATATATATATATATATATATATATATATATATATATATATATATATATATATATATATATATATATATATATATATATATATATATATATATATATATATATATATATATATATATATATATATATATATATATATATATATATATATATATATATATATATATATATATATATATATATATATATATATATATATATATATATATATATATATATATATATATATATATATATATATATATATATATATATATATATATATATATATATATATATATATATATATATATATATATATATATATATATATATATATATATATATATATATATATATATATATATATATATATATATATATATATATATATATATATATATATATATATATATATATATATATATATATATATATATATATATATATATATATATATATATATATATATATATATATATATATATATATATATATATATATATATATATATATATATATATATATATATATATATATATATATATATATATATATATATATATATATATATATATATATATATATATATATATATATATATATATATATATATATATATATATATATATATATATATATATATATATATATATATATATATATATATATATATATATATATATATATATATATATATATATATATATATATATATATATATATATATATATATATATATATATATATATATATATATATATATATATATATATATATATATATATATATATATATATATATATATATATATATATATATATATATATATATATATATATATATATATATATATATATATATATATATATATATATATATATATATATATATATATATATATATATATATATATATATATATATATATATATATATATATATATATATATATATATATATATATATATATATATATATATATATATATATATATATATATATATATATATATATATATATATATATATATATATATATATATATATATATATATATATATATATATATTATAAAGCAATTCATAAAAAACATTTTTATTTTTTTTACCAAATCTAAATCTACTCGGAAATTATTAGTATATTAGGTTATGTTTATATTATTAATGCGAATATAGCACAATATTAATTTTTAATATATTTACTTCGATGAGATTTAAATAATATTTTAGTCTCGTCATTATAACTAACTATGTCAGGTGTCACAGTTATGCTTAAAAAAGCAACGGTAACACAAAACATTATTATAATTAAACTATTGATTTATAATTTAGAAAAACTCATAATTTTTTAAATTTACATAAAGTTAATTTACAAGTACAATTATATAATTAAATTTTATATTTTTTAAAAAATTATTAATAAACTTACGACGATGCGCTTTTGAAACTTTTGGAAAATGAATATTTGGAGAAATGTAGATTATGAGAAGAACGCAAGTATAATCTTTACCTACATAATGGGGAAAGCTCTCGAGCTTTTCAACGCGGCCCGTATCGGAGACTTTCAAGCGAGGGATGATCTTCTGATCTCGTAGCTTCCGAATCCGGTAATGCATTGCTGCAACGATGATCAATCCAATGGAAGATGCCCAAAGCATCTGCCCGACGCTCGGTTTGTTGCCGCTATCTGAACAAAATCAAAATCAAATCGAGATCTAGAAAATGAAAAGGTGAGTCCATTGCGTTCATTCTATAAACTATAATCGCTTTACCTTTCTGAATCATTGTGAATTCGGAGGATGATTGGCTGCAACTTCGAATTTGTTCTCTCTAATATGCGATCGGTCGGGAGAATAAGAAAAATAGGATTCGGAGGCCATTGTGGTTGATTCCTTTGAATTGTTCTTGTGGTTGCATGTTAGATCTGTGTGTTAGAGACGTCCAAATGGATTCGTGAGATTATTGTAAGTGTAGGATCATCACTTTGCCTTTAATGGGAGAACTCGTCTCTGTTTCTTTACTTTGAGCTTTTCAATGGCTGCAACTGCATTTTCTATTTTAGGATTTTATTTTTTGGTAGGATTTGAAGATAATAAAGAGAAGGAAATGTTTATGTGATCTAAAATTGCTTATTTTTAGTCAACATTTGTTTGTGGTGTAAAATGTTTAATTATGGGTCACATCATTTTGTTGTTTAATTATGGGTTTACCTCCTTGATTTCACTTTAAAATTTTGTTTGATAGATTTCTAAAATTAGTTTAATAAATTTTGAAATTTTCAAAAAATAATTCATTACCGTCATAATTGTCACACAATTAAACTCCATATATATTTTTCAAGCCGACTTTGTGGCTTCGTCGGATCTTAGATAAGGTTTGTCTTCGCCAATCGAACATTACTCGTACGTAATCCAAACTTGTTCAACCACACACGTGCATGTTCAATCGTCTGCGACATATCTGACGTGCCTCTACACTTGTCAAGTTATTTGGCTCAACCTTGCCTCTGTTCGAGGCCAAATTAACACATTATTTCCATGTGTATTTATTAACTTTTATAATGAAATTCGTATGAATAGTTTGGTTTAATGTTTAGAGACCGGGAATAAAATGCCTTACATTCAAATAAATTTTATCTTAAATTTTAGGTTTTTGAATTATTTTTGTAATAAGTTATAAGAGTTATAAGAATATAATAAACCTAAATAATAAACATAATTAAAACAATCATATTTAGAAATAAATGGAAGAGATAATATAAAATAAAAAAGAACACTAAAAAAAAATAAAGGAAGGGAAACTAACTATAAATGGAAGAGATAATATAAAATAAAAAAGAACACTAAAAAAAAATAAAGGAAGGGAAACTAACTCTTTGTTATGTAAAACAATTCATCTCTATAATGATATATATATATATATATATATATATATACATGTATTCCATTTAATATAAGGTATGTTACAAAAATATAATATATATATATATATATATATATATACATGTATTCCATTTAATATAAGGTATGTTACAAAAATATAATAATAAAGTTTAGTTAAATATGACTGGGTAGCTTTCTTTGAAATCCCCCGGTAGAAATATCAATAAAAAGATAAAATGAGAGACCCAAAGTAATGAGAAAATGACTTGTAACTGTGAAGCTATAAGATATCATACCTTGAGGATTATGAAATAACGAAAAAGTCGAAGTGACCGAGATGCGAGGGAAAAACTTTTGTTTCACATTTCTGGATCCGGAAAGACCACCTATTTGTTCGTTTACCAGGTTCGACATGAAATCATAAATAAGCTCTACCAGGATTGCCAAGCATTTGGTACTGAGTTTCCTCCTCCGTTTTTAGTAACAAAATAGATCAGAAGTAGGACCAAACTGAAAGTTAGCCGCATAAAGAAAAAGGGCAGAACCGAGATTTCGGGTTCATCTGACATAGTAGCTACAATGGGAGATTCAAAATTCGGGGGTCTAACTTCTTCTACACGAACCAGTTGGCGAGATGGGCAGACCCAAGACAGTTCAATGGGAACTTTCTTGCGGGATGGGGAATGATGTGAAAAAAGAAAATCACAAAATTCACCTTTATCGATGGAACATAATAAAATCACATGAAAGAGTGAAAAAATATTCTTATATTATGATGATAACATGCTTGTATGTCATATTCTAACACATATTCAACGGAATAATCGAAACTTTCGAGGTATGATATATGAAATATAAATATAAAGTATAGAATATATTGATACACTTTATATACCAATAACAATAAATTTGAAAAAGATTTTTTTTTGTTATACATGAAGATGTGACATAAGGAGCTTTATTTATAATGCGGGACATTATCTCCTGCAGCCGGAAGCTTGGACATGGATCGATCAATTCATTGATAAGAGTCTAAAGAACTTTGGCAATGGTGTGAATACCCAATTTCGGGAGGATCGATGGATGGGACATTCTGCTCCAAAGCTCGGATTTCCTTGTCTTTATGTACTCACCTTTTACCATAGAAGCCGCCATTGCGGAATTGTGGTCTACCGAAGCTGCCTATTGGAGTCTTACTGAGAAGAAATCTGTTGGGCGATGAAATCGAGGTATGAACTACTCTATCTCTAACCTTCTATCCACTTTTAATTGGAACGATCAAGAGGAGAGATGAGTTTGGAGCATTGAAAACGATGGGAACTTTTGATTAAGATCATTGACTTGGGCTCTTGTTTCTGTTCTGATAATATGGGAAACAAAATCTTTATCGCTCTGTGGAAGGTTAGGGTTCAATTCGAGGGGAGTCTCTTTTAACTTTCAAATTTGTGTGTCCAAGTCTAATAGATCATTTCTTTGTTTTGCAATCCAAGCCATGTTTTGAAAACTAAAGAACTTAATTAAGAATTCAAATATTTGAGGAAAATTATGATAAAGAATTGGTGAAAAAACAAGCATGGTTTTCAGAAATAGAAAACTATAAAGAAATTGTTATCAAACGGCATTCATGCTCTATTAAGACTAAGGCTAAGAATCCACCGTATAAATTTTGATTAGGTTGTTTCCTATTAAAGGTCCTATGTTTGATTAGGTTGATCTTCACCTACAAATAAGGGGGAGTGGTGTAGTGGAGATAATTTCTCAAAACCCATCCGCTTAAACTTTTTAGTTGATTGGTGTTTTAACATAATTTTTCTGGTATGTTCTTTATATTTATTCTTCCTTGCCATTTTTCTCTCTCAAGGTAGGTACGTTAATCCTAAAACTACTTAGACTTGTGAGATTATGAAGCTGAACCCTCTTCAGTTATGTTAAAGGAGCGAGAGAAAAACAAGTAACTAATAAAAATTGGAATTAATGAGCTGAAGAGAATTTCTTTTTGTAATAGAATAATGTAATTTCCATTGCTCAAACAACCAGGTCACTGTACAGTATTATCCTACTCTACTTCCTAAATCTGGAGGTGGCAAAACTGTGATCAAGAACATTTCATTTTTGTTCTTCCAACTTTCATGATCTATGCAGCCTAGCAGTGAGATTTATGAAAGCATCTTCTCTGCATGGAATCGTCAAGCCGCCCATTGGATGGCGAAATCCAAATTCCTCTTCTGATCTATTGAGCAGATCTACAAAAAAAGGATGCTTCAAGTATGATATAGGTACCACAAATCTCTTCTTTTGAATCTCTCCCACATAGACTGCAATGTGGCCTTTGGGAACATCAGATTGATTTCTTGTAGATAGAGCTTGCGTTTTCAGAATCTGCTTGGCATTAAGAAGAATCGATGGCAAACGGATTCCCATATCGGAAATGTCCTCGAAACAAGAGAGGGGTGACTGACTTTGAATGGTTTTCTGCTTGATTTTGAATTAGGTGTAGGAAATAGAGTACTTGTTGGATGAGAATGGCTTTATTTCTGATGTATATTTATAAACTAGGAACCGGAGAGGAGAACAAAAAAATATGGCAGATAGGTGTGTTTGAGGCCTACTTCTCGAAAGGCTCACATGGGTTTGCTCTATCTATTAGAATTTCTTTCATTTCCTCGTTGGTCCCACTTTTTCCAATAACAAGTGGTCAAAGAAAACTTCGCCAAGTTCGTCATTATCTCTTGGAATATGAGTAGCAACATACCATGTGATTCTCCCAATCCTCATAAAGTGCTTCCATTAATGGACCTATTGCAGTGGTTGAGAGTACATTGGTGGTGATAGGAGCTGTGACTCAAATGAAATCTGAGCAGCTTCCCTCACCTACAAGCTGGTTTCATTGATGAAGAAATTTCCTCTTGCAAAGTGGTCCAATCACACGGATATGTTGGCTTGTCTTTACACTTTCCTTACAAAGCCATCTGTTTTGATGTGCTATTCCCCTGAACAAGCATGGTGTTGTTTGAAAATTGAAGTACAAATGGGCCTATACTTGAGCAATTCATGGCATACATTTCAAACACACATGGGAGCCGAGAGAAAGGATGAGATCAAAATAGAAAATTCTTGTGAGCTTACAAAGTCATGTTAAGTGGGTCCTCTAAGTTGCTAAGCTACTGATGATAGTGAGCCCACTTTTAAGCTCAATGGAAATGCTCAGGCAACTTCTCACTTCATAACTCTATAAATATAGATCCTATATTAGTTTGAAGTACAAGTTTGAGCTCTGAATTTCACAATTCTACTTCCAACCAAGGCTAAACTTAAGAGTTGTTTACAGTCTCTTGATCATTGCAAATAGATTTAGCAATGGGAATTCGTTTACCATCATCCCTGCTGCCTACTGTCAAGCAAATTCTCAAGATGCAATTGGGTTTTGTCAAGAAGCAGTCAGATGTTGTTCCTAGAGGTCATGTTGCTGTATATGTGGGAGATACCCAAAGGAGGCGATTTGTGGTTCCTGTTTCGTACTTGAACCATCCTTCATTCCAGCAACTACTCAATCGAGTAGAAGAAGAGTTTGGTTATCATCATCCACATGGGGGTCTAACAATTCTTTGCCAAGAGGGCACATTCATTGATCTTACTTCTAGACTGCAACATTCTTGAAGGATGAAGATGATGGAATAGGCATCAATCAATTTTTGACACAGTTTTTTCCTGAATTGATTTCTTTCTGCCTGAATGTTGTGTACAAATACAATCTTAACCCTTTTGGAATGTAAATGAGTTTCTTTCTTAGTGAATTTCCTATCAAAATGTAATACAAATAGATTTTGAGTATCACTTCATGTTCCTCTTCTTATTCTTTGATACTCTTGTCTGTTCATTGCTGTCTGTCCTGCAGAATTGGATGTTTTTTTTTTTTGGCTATTATACATGTTCAAAATGGAACAGAGAGACAACCTTTGCATACAATAGGGTCCAAGTTCCATTTACACGACCTCATTCTGCTCATAGAAGAAAATGCAGGTGGCGTTGACAGTAATTAAATCTTGGATAACGGAGCTCTCTTTCATAGCCATTATGAGACCCTCCATAAATATATGCGAGCTATGAGCTCTCTCCCATTGTTTTGACGGTTTGCCTCTAGAAAATCCCAAAAACCGACCAGTCTCCTATTAAACAGATCGACCAGTCTCTGCCATCAATACTACATAGTTAACTGCAGAAGGCAGATAGGTTGGATATTGATCTTCAAACCAAGAGTAAAATTTCATAGAAAAATTTAACTTGTCACAAAAGGATCCAGTATGCTTTGGATAGGTTGAACTTTGAAGTTTGAATCTTCAAGATGCTACCCAGTTTCTTTAGTGATGTATCGTGATCTGGCAACAGTTTTTCTTAGTTCCATGGATTGCAGGTTAACCATCAGAAATAAAGCAGAAAAGAAAAGGCTATATAGAAATTGAGGCTAAATTTGTGTTTTCTTTTGATTGTAAATGCACCATTACAATGCCACTCAATTACAGGCAAGAAAGGCATTCCATTCTACAACATTCTAGTATGGGTCAAAATACAATTGAGTCAGAAACAACCAGAAAAGGTTGTAGAAAATTGCAGCTTGAGCATTGCTGTTCATCCTTCAAGATACTTGCAGTCTAGAAGTGAGATCGATGAAGGCATCTTCTTTGCAAGGAATTGTTAGTCCCCCTTGAGGATGATGGAATCCAAACTTCTCCTCTGCGTGACTGAGAAGTTGCTGGAACGATGGATGGTTTAGGTAAGATATTGGAACCACGAACCGCTTCCTTTGGATCTCTCCCACATAAACTGCAACATGGCCTTTTGGAACATCCAACTGGTTTTTGGTGAAACCTGACTGCATCTTCAGAATTTGCTTGGCATGAGGAACCAAAGATAGAAACCGAATCCCCATTTTCTTGAGATGAAAGAGTGTCAAAAAGGTCAGGAGCTAACTATAAGAGGATGTAGAACTTAAAATGAGTTGAATTTGGTGTTTGAAGGCACATTTTGATGTTTATATTTATAGAGTTTCTGAAGGAAGTGCTATCTCTATGCTGGTGATTGTGGCCTTTCCAGTGGCTATGTGGGGTATTGATGTCTGGTGGTTGGGTATATTTGAGTATACTGGTTCACATGGCTTTGCCCAACTCATGTAAGGGCCATCCATTTTCTTCTCCCACTTCATGTTCGCTGTATTCTATACCACAAATTTTAGGTTCATTGGTCAAATGTTTCCATATATGTCCTGTCAACTCATAGATACTTCCAGACAAAGTCCATTACATTGGAAATAGAAATGCTGATTCTTGAAGCTGAAGAGAAAATTTACATGTCTTTGTCATACAGTGCTTGATTGTTTTCAGTTTCTTTTCACCATCATGAACTAATTTTCCCTTGGCAAGACTTTGCTCGACAAACCTCTATATGGTGTTTTAGCTTTGTTCTGTCAATACTTTGATCTCTTACTTAAAAAAATCATAATTTTGGGAGTGTTTGTTTAAACTGTTTTTCGTTGTCTTACCAACCAATATAAAGTAGTAGCATGTTTAAGGTATCAAGGGGGTCAATGAGTGTGGAAATACCGAAAATGAGCATGTGTGTAACAGGCCAAGCCCACCGCTAGAAGATATTTTCCGCTTTGGCTCGTTACATATCGCCATCATTCTCACGGTTTCAAAATGCGTATACTAAGGAGAGGTTTACACTCCCTTATAAGGAATACTCCGTTTCGGTTGCAACCGATGTGATCTCACAAAGTGTGAGTCTTAACTATTAGATTCGTTTAGAATGATTCAACATCATAGGGGTTGGGTTACATGTCAATAGAAATTATAGGTAGAGATAATGACCTTTTGAAAGAATACAAGGATGCCTTCCAGACTCCAAAATCTAACCCAAGCTAACCTCCGGGGCAGGCCACAACAGAAAGGCGCTCTCACTCCCATACTTTTATGAGGTCCTATTAGGATAGGTAGGCTCAAACCTTTTGCCTCTTCTTGATCAAGCAGTAAATCGAGAGAGCAGGACAAAAGAGTACCTTCAAAGGAGTACCTAAAGTTGGATTCATGAAGTTAAGAATATCAACCTAAGTTGGATTCATGAAGTTGTACAAAACTTGTTCCTGCCTTACCTTTCTTCTCCTCGACTTAAGAATATCAACCTATCTCACATACAATGCTTCAGCTTTCCCCCTCAACTTTGAATACTTGTTCTCTCTGATCAAGCAGAATTTGCACAAAACATAAGTACCTGCTCAACCTTAAGCAAATCTAACCAACCAATAATAACTCTTTTTCTGAACCTAAATAATGATCCTGGCTATGAAATGCAGGACGTCACTGATATTATCAATCTAAATCCATGGCATGAAAGTGTAACATCTTTAAACTTGGTTGATCCTTAGTTGAAAGTCTGAGATTTCTGCTATTTAGTTTACCAACCCATTCTATTTCTTGGCCTAAATTCTAATGGAGAGACCAAATAGCGCTTGCTCCCTTCCACAGACTTGGGAAAAAAACTAGAAAATAGATGAGAATTCTCAAGAATGAAGAGAAGAGAAACTATGAAGCTTGTAAATCCGATCTCTCAACGACTCTTTAAATAATATCAACAGGAGATGCCACTAACATAACACATCAGGAAAACGATATAAGTGGAGAGAACTGACATGCATATACTGATCTAGACATAGACGGTTGATAAAAATAGATGAGTGAGACCTACAAAGAAACATTATGCACACCTCTTATTATACACAGACAAACACATATTAAACAATCCTGAATGATAAACCTCTAACATTAGAGCATAGTTGAGACAATTATTTTCATCATGCCCCGAAGAATAGTTTAAAACCTTCTTGTAAAATTTGATTAGTCTTAATTCTTAACACAGCTTGTTTTCCTCTCAGGATTTCTTGAAGTATTGATATCATTAAATTTACTAAACCCATCCGTTTAAATAGTTGGATTGATTGGTGAGTTAACATGGTATGAAAGGTCCTATGTTTGAACCCTTGATATTTTATTCTCCCAATTAATATTGATCTTCACGTACATGTTGATACAACTAAATTTATCATAATCTATTAGCTTCAACTTTTGGGTCGATGAGATTTAACATAATTTTTCTGATCTGTTCTTTATATTTATTCTTCCTTGCCATTTTTTTCTCGCACTGTAGGTTACATTAATCCTAAAACTACTTGGACTTGTGGGATTATGAAGCTGAACCCTCTTCAGTTATGTTAAAAGCGGTGAGAGAAAAACAAGTAACGAATAAAAATTGGAATTAATGAGCTGAAGAGAATTTCTTTTTGTAATAGAATAATGTAATTTCCATTGCTCAAACAACCAAGTCACTGTACAGTATTATCCTACTCTACTTCCTAAATCTGGAGGTGGCAAAACTGTGCGCAAGAACATTTCATTTTTGTTCTTCCAACTTTCATGATCTATGTAGCCTGGCAGTGAGATTTATGAAAGTATCTTCTCTGTATGGAATCGTCAAGCCGCCCATTGGATGGTGAAATCCAAATTCCTCTTCTAATCTATTGAGCAGATCTACAAAAGAAGGATGCTTCAAGTATGATATAGGTACCACAAATCTCTTCCTTTGAATCTCTCCCACATAGACTGCAATGTGGCCTCTGGGAACATCAGATTGATTTCTTGCAGATAGAGATTGTATTTTCAGAATCTGCTTGGCACTAAGAAGAATTGATGGCAAACGGATTCCCATATCGAAAGTTTCCTCGAAACAAGAGAGGGGTGACTGACTTTGAATGGTGTTCTGCTTGATTCTGAATTTGATGTAGGAAATAGAGTACTTGTTGGATGAGAAGGGCTTTATTTCTTATGTATATTTATAAACTAGGAACTGGAGAGGAGAACAAAAAGAGTATACTTTGAGGGCCTACTTCTCCATAGGCTCACATGGGTTTGCTCTATCCATTATAATTTCATTCACTTCCTCGTCGGTCCTACTTTTTCCAATAACAAGAGGCCAAGAAAACTTCACCCAGTTCGTCATTATCTCTTGGAATATGAGTAGTAACATACCATGTGATACTCCCAATCCTCATTAAGTGCTTCCATTAATGGACCTATTGCAGTGGCTGAGAGTACATTGGTGGTGATAGGAGCTGTGAGTCAAATGAAATCTGAGCTACTTCCCTCACCTACAAGCTTGGTTCATTGATGAAGAAATTTCCTCTTGCAAAGTGGTCCAATCACACGGATATGTTGGCTTGTCTTTACACTTTCCTTACAGAGCCATCTGTTTTGATGTGCTACTCCCCTGGAATAAGCATGGTGTTGTTTGAAAATTGAATTACAAATGGGCCTATAATTGAGCAATTTCAAACACACATGGGAGCCAAGAGAAAGGATGAGATCAAAATAGAAAATTCTTTTGAGCTGACAGAGTCATGTTAAGTGGGTTCTCTAAGTTGTTAAGCTACCGATGCTAGTGAGCCCACTTTTAAGCTCACTGGAAATGATAACCATGTGAATTTAGTTCTTATTTTGTAAAAGTAAGCTTACAAACACTACTTCTCAAGTGATGTATCATGATCCGGCAACAGTTTTTCTTAGTTCCATGGATTGCAGGTTAACCATCAGAAATAAAGCAGAAAAGAAAAGGCTATATAGAAATTGATTTAACAATGGGGCTTCGTTTGCCATCATCCCTGCTGCTGGCTGCCAAGCAAATTCACAAGATGCAGTTCGGTTTTGTCAAGAAGCAGTCTGATTTTGTTCCTAGAGGTCATTGTGCTGTATATGTGGGAGATATCCAAAGGAAGCGATTTGTGGTTCCTGTTTCGTACTTGAACCATCCTTCATTCCAACAACTACTAAACCGAGTAGAAGAGTTTGGTTACCATCATCCACATGGAGGTCTAACAATTCCTTGCAAAGAGGGCGCATTCATTGATTTTACTTCTAGACTGCAACACTCTTGAAGGATGAAGATATGGAATAGGCCTCAATCAGTTTTTGACACATTTTTTTCTCCTGAATTGATTTCTTACTAACTCCCCTGAATGAATCTTGTGTACAAATACAATCTTAAGCCTTTTGGAATGTAAATGAGTTTCTTTGTTAGTGACTTTCCTACCAAAACATAATCGAAATAGATTTTGAGTATCATTTCATGTTCCTCTTCTTATTCTTTGATACTCTTGGTCTGTTCATTGCTGTCTGTCATGCAGAAGTGGATATTTTTTTGGTTATTATACATGTTCAAAATGAAACAGAAAGACAACCTTTGCATATAATCGGATCCAAATTCCATTAACACGACCTCATTCTGTTCATCGAAGAAAATGCAGGTGGTGTTGACAGTAATTAAATCTTGGATTGAATATTGTATAATGGAGCTCTCTTTCATAGCCATTATCAGACCCTCCATAAATATACGCGAGCTATGAGCTCTCTCCCATTGTTTTGACGGTTTGCCTCTAGAAAATCCCAAAAACCGACCAGTCTCCTATTAAACAGATCGACCAGTCTCTGCCATCAATACTACATAGTTAACTGCAGAAGGCAGATAGGTTGGATATTGATCTTCGTTTATTAGATCAAATCAAGAGTAAAATTTCATAGAAAAATTTAACTTGTCACAAAAGGATCCAGTATGCTTTGGATAGGTTGCAAGAGTAAAATTTCATAGAAAAATTTAACTTGTCACAAAAGGATCCAGTATGCTTTGGATAGGTTGAACTTTGAAGTTTGAATCTTCAAGATGCTACCCAGTTTCTTCAGTGATGTATCATGATCTGCAACAGTTTTTCTTAGTTCCATGGATTGCAGGTTAACCATCAGAAATAAAGCAGAAAAGAAAAGGCTATATAGAAATTGATGCTAAATTTGTGTTTTCTTTTGATTCACTTCTGTTGGTAAATGCGCCATTACAATGCCACTCATTTACAGGCAAGAAAGGCATTCCATTCTACAACATTTTAGTATGGGTCAAAATACAATTGAGTCAGAAACAACCAGAAAAGGTTGTAGAAAATTGCAGCTTGAGCATTGCTGTTCATCCTTCAAGATACTTGCAGTCTAGAAGTGAGATCGATGAAGGCATCTTCTTTGCAAGGAATTGTTAGTCCCCCTTGAGGATGATGGAATCCAAACTTCTCCTCTGCGTGACTGAGCAGTTGCTGGAACGATGGATGGTTTAGGTAAGATATTGGAACCACAAACCGCTTCCTTTGGATCTCTCCCACATAAACTGCAACATGGCCTTTCGGAACATCCAACTGGTTTTTGGTGAAACCTGACTGCATCTTCAGAATTTGCTTGGCATGAGGAACCAAAGATAGAAACCGAATCCCCATTTTCTTGAGATGAAAAGAGTGTCAAAAAGGTCAGGAGCTAACTATAAGAGGATGTAGTACTTGAAATGAGTTGAATTTGGTGTTTGAAGGCTCATTTTGATGTTTATATATAGAGAGTTTCTGAAGGAAGTGCTATCTATGCTGGTGAGTGTGGCCTTTCCAGTGGCTATGTGGGGTATTGATGTCTGGTGGTTGGGTATATTTGAGTATACTGGTTCACATGGCTTTGCCCAACTCATGAAAGGGCCATCCATTTTCTTCTCCCACTCCATGTTCGCTGTATTTTATACCACAAATTTCAGGTTCATTGGTCAATTGTTTCCATATATCTCTGTCAACTCATAGATACTTCCAGACAAATTCCATTAGATTGGTAATAGAAATGCTGATTCTTGAAGCTGATGAGAAAATTTATATGTCTTTGTCATACAGTGCTTGTTTGTTTTAAGTTTCTTTTCTCACCATCATGAACTAATTTTCCCTTGGCAAGACTTCGCTCGACAAACATCTATATGGTGTTTTAGCTATGTTCTGTCAATACTTTGATCTCTTACTTAAACAAATCATCATTTTGGGAGTGTTTGTTTAAATTGTTTTTCTTTGTCTTATCAACTGATATAAAGTAGTAGCACATTTAAGGAATCAAGGGGGTCAATGAGTGTGGAAATATCGAAAATGAGCAAGTGTGTAACAGCTCAAGTCCACCGCTAGTAGATATTATCCGCTTTGGCCCGTTACGTATCGTCATCAGCTTCACGATTTCAAAACGCATCTCTCCCTAATAAGAAATTTTTCGTTCCCCTCTTCAACCGATGTGGTACTCGCAAAGTGTGAGTCTTAACCAATAGATTGTTTTAGAATAATCCAACCAATTTCAAGCATAGGGGTTGGGTTACATGTCAATAGAAATCACAGGTAGAAATACATAGGTTTTTCTTGTCCACCACACTCTGACCTTTTGAAAGAATACAAGGATGCCTTCCAGACTCCAAAATCTAACCCAAGCTAACTCTCGAAGCGGGCCACAACCGAAAGGCGCTCTCACTCCCATTTCTTTATGAGGTCCTATTGGGATAGGTAAGCCCAAGCCTTTCACCTCTTCCTGACCGAGCAGTAGATTGAGAGAGTAGTAGAAAACAGTACCTTCAGTTGGATTCATGAAGTTAAGAATATCAACCTATCAGTTGGATTCATGAAGTAGTACAAAACTTGTTCCTACCTTACCTTTCTCGTCGACTTAAGAATATCAACCTATCTCACATACAATGCTTCAGCTTTCCCCCTCAACTTTGAATACTTGCCCGCTCTGAATAAACAGAATTTGCACAAAACATAAGTAGCTGCTCAGCCTTTAAGCAAATCTAACCAACTGTTAATAACTCTTTTTCTGAACCCAAACAATGATTCTAGCTATGGAATGCAGGACGTTACTGATATGATCAATCTTTAAACTCTTTTGATCCTCAGTTGAAAGTCTGAGATTTCTGCTATTTAGTTTACCCACCCATTCTATTTCTCGTCCAAAATCCTAATGGAGAGACCAAATAGCTCTTTCTCCCTTCCACAGGCCTTATACGATATCATAAGGGGAAAAAACGAGAAAATAGATGAGACTTCTCAAGAAATGAAAAGAAGAGAAACTATGCAGCTTGTAAATCCGATCTCTCAATGGCTCTTTATATAATATCAACATGAGATGCCACTAACATAACACATAAGAAAAACGATATCAGTGGAGAAAACAGACATGGATATATTGATCTAGACATAGACGGCTAATGAAAATAGACAAGTCAGACCTACAAAGAAACATTATGCACACTTCTTATTATACACAGGCAAACACATATTAAACAATCCTGAATTATAAACCTCTAAGATTATAGCATAGTTAAGACAATTATATTCATCATGTCCTGAATAATGGTTTAAAACCTTCTTGTAAATTTTGATTAGTGTGAATTCTTAACACAGCTTGTTTTCCTCTCAGGATTTTTTGAAGTACTGATATCATTAAATTTACTAAACCCATCCGTTTAAATAGTTGGATTGATTGGTGAGTTAACATGGTATTAAAGGTCCTATGTTTGACCCTTGATATGTTATTTTCTCTCCAATTTGATCTTCACCTACAAGTGAGGGGGAGTGGTGAAGTATGATACAACTAAACTTATCATAATCTATCAGCTTAAACTTTTGGGTTGATCGTCCGGTTCACATAATTTTTCTGGTATGTTCTTTATATTTATTCTTCCTTGCAATTTTTCTCTCGCACTGTAGGTAACATTAATCCTAAACCTACTTAAGACGTGTGAGATTGTGAAGCTAAACCCTCTTCAGTTATGTTAAAGCTGTGAGAGAAAAACAAGTAACTAATAAAAATTGAAATTGATGAGCCGAAGAGACAATATTTTTGTAAGAGAATAATGTAACTTCCATTGCTCAAACAACCAAGTCACTGTACAGTATTATCCTACTTTACTTCCTAAATCTGGAGGTGGCAAAACTGTGATCAAGAACATTTCCTTTTTGTTCTTTGAACTTTCATGATCTATGCAGCCTATCAGTGAGATTTATGAAAGCATCTTCTCTGCATGGAATCGTCAAGCCGCCCATTGGATGGCAAAATCCAAATTCTTCTTCTGATCTATTGAGCAGATCTACAAAAGAAGGATGCTTCAAGTATGATATAGGGACTACAAATCTCTTCCTTTGAATCTCTCCCACGTAGACTGCAATGTGGCCTTTGGGAACATCAGATTGATTTCTTGCAGATATAGCTTGCATTTTCAGAATCTGCTTGGCATTACGAAGAATCGATGGCAAACGGATTCCCATATCGAAAATTTCCTCGAAACAAGAGAGGGGTGACTGACTTTGAATGGTGTTCTGCTTGATTTTGAATTTGATGTATGAAATAGAGTACTTGTTGGATGAGAATGGCTTTATTTCTTACGTATATTTATAAACTAGGAACTGGAGAGGAGAACAAAATGAGTATACTTTGAGGGCCTACTTCTCCAAAGGCTCACATGGGTTTGCTCTATCTATTAGAATTTCTTTCATTTCCTCTTGGAATATGAGTAGCAACATACCATGTGATACTCCCAATCCTCATTAAGTGCTTCCATTAATGGACCTATTCCAGTGGCTGAGAGTACATTGGTGGTGATAGGAGCTGTGAGTCAAATGAAATCTGAGAAACTTCCCTCACCTACAAGCTTGGTTCATTGATGATGAAATTTACACTTGCAAAGTGGTCCAATCACACGGATATGTTGACTTGTCTTTAAACTTTACTTACAAAGCCATCTGTTTTGATGTGCTATTCCACTGGAACAAGCATGGTGTTGTTTGGAAATTGAATTACAAATGGGCCTATACTTGAGCAATTCATTGCATACATTTCAAACACACATGGGAGCCACCAAGAGAAAGGATGAGATCAAAATAGAAAACTCTTGTGAGCTGACAGAGTCATGTTAAGTGGGTCCTCTAAGTTGCTAAGCTACCGATGCTAGTGAGCCCACTTTTAAGCTCACTGGAAATGCTCAGGCAACTTCTCTCTTCATAACTTTATAAATATAGATCCTATATTAGTTTGAAGTACAAGTTTGAGCTATGAGTATCAAGATGCGACTTCCAACCAAAGCTAAACTTAAGAGTTGTTTACAGTCTCTTGAACATTTCCAATAGATTTAACAATGGGGATTCGTTTGCGATCATCCTTGCTGCCTGCTGCCAAGCAAATTCTCAAGATGCAATTGGGTTTTGTCAAGAAGCAGTCAGATGTTGTTCCTAGAGGTCATGTTGCTGTATATGTTGGAGATACCCAAAAGAAGCGATTTGTGGTTCCTGTTTCGTACTTGAACCATCCTTTATTCCAACAACTACTAAACCGAGTAGAAGAGTTTGGTTACCATCATCCACATGGAGGTCTAACAATTCCTTGCAAAGAGGGCGCATTCATTGATTTTACTTCTAGACTGCAACACTCTTGAAGGATGAAGATGATGGAATAGACATCAACCAATTTTTGACCCATTTTTTTTCCTGAATTGATTTCTTTCCAACTCCCCTGGTTGTGTACAAATTCAACCTTAAGCCTTTTGGAATGTAAATGAGTTTCTTTCTTAGTGACTTTCCTACCTAAACGTAATACAAATAGATTTTGAATATCATTTCATGTTCCTCTTCTTAGTCTTTGATACTCTTGTGTGTTCATTGCTGCCTGTGATCCAGAAGTGGTTGCTTTTTTTTTTGTGGCTATTTTACACGTTCAAAATGGAACAGAAAGACAACTTTTGCATACAATAGGGTCCAAATTCCATTAACACGACCTGATTCTGTTCATAGAAGAAAATGCAGGTGGTGTTGACAGTAAATAAATATTGGATTGAATATTGTATAATGGAGCCCTCTTTCATAGCCATTATGAGAGCCTCCATAAATATATTTGAGTTATGAGCTCTCTCCCGTCGTTTTGATGGTTTGTCTACAAAATCCCAAAAACCGACCAGTCTCCTATTAAACAGATTGACCAGTCTCTGCCATCAATACTACATAGTTAACTGCAGAAGGCAGATAGGTTGGATATTGATCTTCGATTATTAGATCAAACCAAGAGTAAAATTTCATAGAAAAATTTAACTTGTCACAAAAGGATCCAGTATGCTTTGGATAGGTTGAACTTTGAAGTTTGAATCTTCAAGATGCTACCCAGTTTCTTCAGTGATGTATCATGATCTGCAACAGTTTTTCTTAGTTCCATGGATTGCAGGTTAACCATCAGAAATAAAGCAGAAAAGAAAAGGCTATATAGAAATTGATGCTAAATTTGTGTTTTCTTTTGATTCACTTCTGTTGGTAAATGCGCCATTACAATGCCACTCATTTACAGGCAAGAAAGGCATTCCATTCTACAACATTCTAGTATGGGTCAAAATACAATTGAGTCAGAAACAACCAGAAAAGGTTGTAGAAAATTGCAGCTTGAGCATTGCTGTTCATCCTTCAAGATACTTGCAGTCTAGAAGTAAGATCGATGAAGGCATCTTCTTTGCAAGGAATTGTTAGTCCCCCTTGAGGATGATGGAATCCAAACTTCTCCTCTGCGTGACTGAGCAGTTGCTGGAACGATGGATGGTTTAGGTAAGATATTGGAACCACGAACCGCTTCCTTTGGATCTCTCCCACATAAACTGCAACATGGCCTTTCGGAACATCCAACTGGTTTTTGGTGAAACCTGACTGCATCTTCAGAATTTGCTTGGCATGAGGAACCAAAGATAGAAACCGAATCCCCATTTTCTTGAGATGAAAAGAGTGTCAAAAAGGTCAGGAGCTAACTATAAGAGGATGTAGTACTTGAAATGAGTTGAATTTGGTGTTTGAAGGCTCATTTTGATGTTTATATATATAGAGTTTCTGAAGGAAGTGCTATCTATGCTGGTGAGTGTGGCCTTTCCAGTGGCTATGTGGGGTATTGATGTCTGGTGGTTGGGTATATTTGAGTATACTGGTTCACATGGCTTTGCCCAACTCATGAAAGGGCCAGCCATTTTCTCCTGCCACTCCATAGTCTCTGTATTCTATACCTCAAATTTTAGTTTCATTGGTCAAATGTTTCCATATATCTCCTGTCAACTCATAGATACTTACAGACAAAGTCCACTACATTGGAACTAGAAATGCTGATTCTTGAAGCTGAAGAGATTACATGTCTTTGTCTTACAGTGCTTGTTTGTTTCAAGTTTCTTTTCACCATCATGAACTAATTTTCCCTTGACCAGACTTTGCTCGACAAACCTCTATATGGTGTTTTAGCTTTGTTTTGAAGCTTTCTTAACCTCTTATTTTGGATTATAAATGCACCTCATTGAAACGAGTGGGACTGTCACCAGTAGTTAGGGAACATAGGGAAGTGCATGTATTCAAACAAAATAAGCAACCCATGTGAGCATTTATGTATGCCTTCTTAGACACCTACTTGATACTGTTTTCTTCTCATCACTTCTGTATTCCTGAATCCATAAATACAGATCAAACGAACTTCAATCTTCAACTTACATTTCAAACACATCCTCATTCAAAGTAATACACTTCCCAACTTCTAAACTAGA